GTGTTTGACTTACTTTCCGAGGAATCCGAGTTGAACTTGCCGCTGTTTCCTTGAATTTCGAGAGGTACCAAGTGGTTCACCGAGCGTCTGAAAGTTTTTCCGTTGCTGATGACCTGCGCTTCTCTCACTTCTCCGTCTTGACTTTGCATTAATTTCGTGATACGAGCAAGCTTCCAGTGGTTTCTTTTCATGAGCGGGTCTACCAAGAGTACGACCTGTCCTTCTTCTATCTTTTGATGCTCCCACGCTTGTTGTCGATGTTCTGACGATGTTGTTCTCGTAGAGCTGTGAGGTAATGCGTTTTCCATTTATCCCAATATCTTTCTGTTAAGTCGCAGGAGGATTGGAGCGCCTTTTGAGCTTGGATTCTCGTTTCTAATTGAAGGGCTTCCGATGCCGGAAGGAAGGTTGGATCTGTGCGCTCTTCCTCAGGGAGTTTCCATGACATGTCGAGATTGATTTCTCGTTGAATGAAGTCTAGGGCGTAATGGACGTAGGACGTCGTTGATACTGCTTTCTTGGTAGGTGAGTGGCCTACTATTGATGCAGCCTTCGATCTCAGTTAAGAATGTCTGAAGCTGTTCCATTGTGAGTATTCGCCTTCCTATCGTCTTATATAGTGCCTGTTTGATCGATCTGATAAGGCGTTCATAGAATCCGCCTTTCCAAGGCGAATGGGGCGTAATATGCTTCCATTCAATTTGCTGATTGCTCATTTCTCGGTGCACGTCCTCATCTGCCGAAATAGTCGGATTATTGCCGAGGCTGTCGTTGATGATTTGACTCCCAAGGATGAATATGGGAGCATTGTCGCAAATCACTTGCTCTGGTTTTCCTCGTCGAGCGACGAAGCGACGAAATGCATTCAAGAAGTTTTCCGTCGTAGCATTAGGCACAATTTCCAAATGAACAAGTCGAGTTACTGAGCATGTAAAAATGCACCCATGAGCTTCCATGCGTTCCATGTTGTTTCCGTAGATGGGAATAGGACCGAAATAGTCCAGACCTGTATGTTGGAATGGTCGTGATCTTGTTACTCGATATTTCGGAAGATCCGTCATCTCAGGATATTTATAAGGCAAACTGTTCATCTTTTGACATGGTACACATGATCTGATGCACTTCTTGACTTGCTCGCGGAGGCGTGGAATCCAGTATAGATGCCTTACTTCCACTATTGTGTGTCCAACATTTTTGTGATATTTTCCGTGTGCTTCTTGTATTATGAGACGAGACAGCTCTGTGTTAGGTAAGACGAGAAGCGGGTTTTTGGTCTCTTCATCCAGATCTGACTTGTTTATGCGTCCGTATGCTCGTATGAGAAGGTCTTTGCCCTTTCTCAGGTTGAGGTTTTTGAACAGCTCTTTCTTATTCTGCTGATGTAAGTGGACAGCTTGGTGATTTTTAATCAATGCGCAATGAGCGTCCTGAATGTCGGCAGCAGTGAGGTGATTTCCTTGACCTCGACTGTGAGTATATCTCAAATAGGGTTGCAGTTTGTTTCTTATCGAAACTTGCAGCCGTTCTGTGGTACGTCTGACGAATTTGATGACGTATGCAATTATCCTCAAAACCTTCGTTTTGCTACTATACCGAGAGAGGTCTACCAAGTCCTTTGGTTTGTGTGATGTTTCTAATCCTGTGGATGAAGCTGCCACGAAGGTTTCTATTGGTTCGCTTTCTTCGTGATCGTCAGTTTTGACCTTTATGGTGAAAAATGAGGTGCTAATGCCATTTTCCGATATACTTCGGAGTGAGTAGGCTTTCCACCAAACGTGAGAAGAGAATTCTTCAGCTGATACTCCACGTGTTCCTACGTCCGCGGGATTCTCTTTGGTGTCGATGTATCCAAACTGGACTTGGATGTTCATTTCTTCTAATTCGTTAACGATATTGTAGACTTCTTTGACTCGGTTTTTAACATATGCACCTATACCTTTGTTGTGAAATGAACTCCTTATCCAATTCAATGCAATTTCTGAGTCGGATAGAATAATGACTCCGGTGATGCGGGTTACCGATCTCAGACTCAGATATGTGTTTAGAGTCAATCGTGCTCCTATTGCTGTTGCATTCATTTCCATTTTTGGTACTGTAGCTGGACGTTTGTAGTCCGCAACCTTTGACTTGGCTATGAGGAAGTTGGAATCGTCCTCGGTTGCTAGGTATGTGCACGCCGTCATGGCTATCCCACTAGCGTCGCAATACGTGGTTAGCGTATGCTTGGTTGTGCAATCAGCGATCCTTCGAGGAACCTTTTTGTGGAAAGTACTCATGTTTTTTGCAATTGAACGCCATTCTTCTTGCAGACGTTCACTCAATGGTTCGTCCCAACTATACTTCTCCTTCCATAGTTGTTGTTGGAAGTGCTTAGCTTTCACAAGTAAAGGTATGAGCCATCCAAAAGGGTCATATACCGATGCAATCTGTTGAGCTACTGACCGTTTGCTGGTTTGTCCTTGTGGTTCGACTTTTACGTCAATAGAGAACTCATCCGTTTTGGAATCCCATCGCAGTCCGAGTACTTTGGGTGATGAATTTGACGATTGATCTTCTGATGTGATCGCTTTCGTTATCGCTGAACTGTTGGATACGAATGCTCTCAAGTTCATTTTAAGCTCGTTGAAGATTGCTTTCAGATCCTTGTACTTCTGGATACCTTCAGCAACGGATTCCGCTTTTACGAAAGTTGTCTACGTACAGATTTGATGCGATCTCCTCTGCCAGGACTTTGTTTCCTACGTAGTTGTTCAAGTGGTATAAGATAGTTGCGCTCAACAGGAATGGCGAAGCATTGATGCCAAATGTGACTCTTGTGAATCTGAACACTCTTAGATTGTCCTCGGTGACTGGTTTGCTTATGTCTTTCAGCCACAAACACCTGGTAAAGTCCCTATCTCTCTCCGTAGGCTCAAAAGGCGCTCCAATCCTCTGCGACTTAACAGAAAGATATTGGGAAAAATGGAAAACGCATTACCTCACAGCTCTACGAGAACAACATCGTCAGAACATCGACAACAAGCGTGGGAGCATCAAAAGATAGAAGAAGGACAGGTCGTACTCTTGGTAGACCCGCTCATGAAAAGAAACCACTGGAAGCTTGCTCGTATCACGAAATTAATGCAAAGTCAAGACGGAGAAGTGAGAGAAGCGCAGGTCATCAGCAACGGAAAAACTTTCAGACGCTCGGTGAACCACTTGGTACCTCTCGAAATTCAAGGAACACAACTGTAAATTCAACTCGGATTCCTCGGGAAGTAAGTCAAACACGCAACATTCGCCAACGGAAAGCAGCAATCCGCATTATAACTTACGCCCCAGGAAATCACAGACTCAATACGCGGAATCACAACATGTACATAGTTTCCAAATAAGGAATTCTACCCCGTTGTGGCCGCTCTCATTGTATATGAAAATGGCTCTTATGCTATCTATCTTCACGGTACTGAATGGAGACAAACATTCCACTTTAAGAGTTGCTGGTGCAAACTCAAGGAACCGAGTTCAATGCTCAAATCGAGGACCATACCTCTCTCCATCACATAAAGAAGAATTGCAAAATCATGTACATGAACACTGCTTCATAGAAGAAGTATCAGTGCATAAAAATCTATTTCCTTTATGCCTAAAGCCAGAACGCCAAGTTCATGCAACGTTTAGGCGCTATGCAGGCAAAACTTTTGGCCTAGGACATGGTAATCAACCACAGAAAACAGGAGCAAATACCATTTTCTTCTACCATCATTGTACCTGGAATCACATTCAGAGCATCATGTGCATTTTTTACGGGCATCACTCAGATCTGTTGCCAAAGGAAGTGCAAAAAATACTCCAAATAGGACTCTGACCAAGTTAAGGACGTTGCATTACTAACCGAAACGCATAAATCAGCTTTATTCAACATAATTGTAATACTCCACATCATAACACACTAATCACGCAATGTTTTAGAGAGATGTCACACGAAAAGGACGATGAATTCACCAGAAGACGTCGCGCAGAAGAACAAGCGCTCATCGAAACAATTCGATACAAAAGGAAGCGCATCAAACTGGCACCTTCCTTTCCATCAGAAGATGAAATTCAACACAAAATTCGTACAATTCTTAGTTCTGTCATTGATCTCATTCAATCTGATAATCTCTTTGACTTTTTCACTGAAATCCGCGGTCGTAAGCCCCATTCTTTGCCAAAAACGAAGCCACTCTTCTACAAATGTCACTTGGAAAAGGTGCATCTGCAGGCATGTCACATCACGGACAAAATTCGGTGTGGAACAGAAGCATTGTCAATGGGTTACGACCTCTACAGACTTCTTGTTCAGGCGGATGACTCATTAGCAAGCTCCAGGGACAAGTTTTTCGAAGAGGAAATCAAAGGAGTGTCGTTTGACCCTACTTTTACAGCAGAGTTTGTTCGCAAGGAACTCGAGTTTTTGGAGGATTTTTGTCAGAAGATCCAGACGGAAATCCGCGAAGCCGAACTACAGCTGAATAATGAGACTCATGAATCTTGTCCGAAGAAATCAAGCGCATTCCTAGCCAATCTGGAGCAGAAAATTGATGAGAAGTTCGAACATTTCAGTCAGCAGCAAGAGCAATTTGGTCGCAGGATAACCGATCTCGAGAGCAAACTCGACAAGACACGGGAGCATTGCAGTCAACTGCAAGAAGAAATCAAGTGCATGCTGAAAGAGCCTAAGGAATCTACCAATGTCGTCTCGGAGAAGCATTCGCAGTCACCTGTAGTCACTCCCTCGAGACCGAGCATCGAGGAAGACCTTTTGGATTTAGAAGATGACATCGTTTTCCAAAACTCCGACGAAGGAGACGTCGACGACAACAACAATGCATCGGAGAAGCCGACAGTCGAAGAGGAAAGACTAGAGCTAGAACATCGATTGAACGTTTTGAGAAATCTTGTCCATATGGAGCGCAAAGTTCCAGAAAGAAAGATAAGCATGCGCGATGTAATGCAAGAGAAAGACCGCTTCCTACGATGTTCATTTTGCTTTGCAAAGGGATTTCATTATAGCGATAGTTGCCCTGAAGTCCCCACCGTGAAAGGTCGACTTAAACGCATTCGTTGTGAGCATTGTTTGGACATCCGGCATGAAACCGTCAACTGTTGGAAACTCAAAAAAGAATGCATGTATTGCTCTTCCACGGATCATAACAAGGCCATATGCACACTCCCTGAGCGCATCTACGAATATTACCGGGAGATCGAAGAAATCGAGCGAGAGCTCGAAGAAAACAAGGAATACTATTACAAGCCCGGGGGTGGACCACCCCGAAAGGGGGAGTATCACGACGGTGATCATTGATTTGATTTGATCACTCCCAGATCGCGCGGGAAACCCCATATATAAGCCAATGTTTTGCCTTGAAGTGTTCATTACTCCAGACGTCCGCGGATTGTGCATCCAGGATAGAGCATCCCTTTGATTTCGTGCATTCTTGCTTATCGCGCACTCTTGCTTATCGTGCATTCTTGTTTATCGCGCATTCTTATTTATCGTGAATTCACTTGTTCATCGTACATTCACTTGTTATCTTACACTCATCCATCGTATCTCATCATTCGAAGTCAATTTGTTCGCATGTTCTATTTTGCTAGCTTTATCGATTGTTCACCCATGGCCATTGATGTTGTATATTGATTTATCATTAATTTATCTGATGTCATGAATCTCTCCTAAGTCTTATTGGTTTGCCTATGACTCATTGAAGATCATGTCGTTTATTCACTTCCATCTTGATTCTCATACCGTATTTACTCACCTTGATACCTAAGAAGTTGTTCGTTGATGTTATGTCGTACTGTTGTATTGTTATTGTTTATTAATGATGCATAAACGTTTAATTACCCAAGTTTGAGCTGTCTGCACGAGTCGGTCATCATCCGTACCTACCGCGACAGATTCTACATTCGTTACTATGAGTTTCTGGGTAGCATAAATTGACGAAATTCAGTAATAAATGTTGAACTACAGTTCGAGGCCCTGAAAATTTATTTCAAAAAGCTTCAAAAGACTTAATCTGAAAGAGTCCCAAAACTACTGAGATATTTCGGTGCTTAGAACCCTCGTCAGGCTTGAAATAGCTTTTCTTAGTGAAGCCGGACAATATACGCATATATTGGACAGCTCAAACAGGGTCAAGCGAGGCGTTGAGGAAAATTTGGAAATACGACCCCCCCCCCACCACCCTCCGCCGGAGGCCGAAGTCCATGAAACAACCCTCTTCAAAAGCCGAACTATGAAAAGGTTGAAAAGCTTGTTTAATTCTCCCCCAAAACTGCTCATAAAAAAGCCCTGCTACCCCACCGCCCAAAAAATTCGG